TAAATAATAAGGATAATTTTATTTTAAATATAAAAAAACGTTTTATAAAAAATTCTTTGTCAAGAGTACGTCTTGTCTTCTGATTTTTTGTTATATTTTTTTTCTTGTTTTTTATATTGCTTGTTACCATGGTTCGAATAGATAGGGCGCTAGTGCGCACAGGTTATCGACTATGATCATAGCGTGATGTTTATTATAACGTTGGTTTCTGACATTGACATTTGGCTACACTTAAATAAAATCAACTAATGCTACGTTTGAAAAGTACCTCTTGGAGCGAAGTAGAGCTAGTAGATTTTTTAGTCACGTGATCATCGAGCATATCGAGCTTATGTAGAATAAAAGAACGGCTATGGATTTGTTTGTGTTTCCCGTATTTGGTTTTCATTAGCATAACAAAAATAAACTTTTCTTTTAAATCAAATTTTTCGCTTTTAGCTTTCACTAAAAAATAAACTGTTCTCATTTCTGTCTGACATTTTTTATAAATATTTTTTTAATAGTCATCGGAATTACATTTACTCCGAAAGCTCTAAAATTTAATTCGGAGTAAATAGATCTTACTCGATTTACCAGCTCTGCATTAAAATGATCTGCTCCGTAAGATCCCATCGAGAAGCCACAGACGTATTAAAAGAAAGACTTCGAGTAAAAAGAGCAAAACAAGGTAGTTTTCAAACGCAGCATAAGAAGTCTTAAACTAAAATGACATAAAAGTAAAACTAAATGTAAGACTATGTGGTGTAACGTCGCCACAGGCTCATTAATTGAGGGACACGTTACACAGTGTGCCAACTTACCCCTTTTAGACGATGCGACTTTATTTTGCTACCTAATATCCTTTTTCATTAATTTGTCCAAAAAAGTGGTTGGAACCCAAATGTCTATAAAGTAGTGTGTTTGAGAGAAAGAAAGAAAAAAAAAACCAAAGGTGAAAAATAAAACTAAGGCAACTAGTTCTATTTGTGCAGAAGATTCTATTATATCGACGAAGAAAGACTTTCTTGTCTGCGTGGACACATTTAGTATCAGTGCACCAGGAGAAAATTTGATGTCATATATATGTAGGCTTATGATGCATATACCAACCAAAAACCGCTTTTAATTTGTTAAAATTGTAATTCTATATTTTAAAAATATGGTATCAATTTTTAGGGAGATGTTTCTGTTCTTTTGAAAATAAATGTTAAACAGCCTTAAAGTGTCTGTCTTTTACTATATCATTTTCATATACCAACTTACCCCACACAACAGGCCAACTTACCCCACACAATGTGTTAACTTACCCCTGAGCTGGAGTAGATTGGCACACCTGCATTTTTCTACACCCGTATTATAATAATGCACTTATATGTCCATAATCAGTTTCATAATGATAACCATTATGATACAAATTTTTCATAACGATACAGATTTTTCATAACGATACAGATTTTTAATCAATAGGAACCCATAATTTTTTAATCAAGCATGCTGTGCATTTGATGTTTGTCCTATGTAATTGTTTTAGTTGTCAAAATCAGTACGTATTAAATTTTCGTAGATAGCTAAACTTCGACAATTATATTATCAAAATGTCTGATATCAGCGATATAGAAGACTTACCATCGACTCCTCCACACATATCGGAGAAAGCAGAAAATGCAGTACAAAATATTTTACCCCAAACATTTATGGTAATACCAATACTCGAGGTAATACCATTAATTAAAATTTTGTAGAATTTTTTATAGAAATTCGAGTAATTAATGTTATATTGTGTTCAATACAAATATAAATATAATATTTATAGTTCTTGATTATTTATCAGGTGTAGAAAAAATAGCGTATGCAACTCTCATGTAATGGTTAATACATGATCGTTGCATAATATACTACTATATATACTTTGTAGATACCCGATACCCCCAGACTATAGTTAAATGATACAGTTATATCATATATATTTTATAATTCAATTTAAATGTTTGTAGTTCTAGATCAAAAATAATATAGTAAAAGTGTGCTACCCATCCCTGGTTTCTCCTAGTAATTGCTCGGAGGGCGGTATCAAGGCTTGTTATAGGTGTTTGATTTATTTCCATAAGACTGTCAATTTTTGAATTGTTTCCTAAAGGTATCTGAATAAAATTGTTCATTAGAGATCTTTTGATACGTTACTAATTTTTTTATAATATTTATAATTGTTTTATTATAAATTGGAAACGTTCTTACAAAAAATTACTTTAAATTTTCAAATAATTACAAAATCTATTCGGTTATTTTATAATATTAATAAAATATTGTTTTGTTATATAATTAGAAACGTTCTACCTGCTTCTTAAAAAAAACATTTTTTTCTCTAATTATTCAAATAATTACAAAATCTGATCGGTTAACATGACGTGACATGACGGAGCTCTGCAGTTTAAAATTATCGAACAATATTTTCGAGCTTCCATCTGTCCCGTAAGGCCTTTTACGTGTAGGGCCGCGAGCGAGGGCGGAAAAACTCTGTTTTCCGCATAGTAAAAATTAGTACGCAGACGTCATGACCCGTCTTCAGATGGTGACCTACTTTGATTCCGACCAGCGACTTCCTGTACAGGTGTATTTGCAATAATTACCGTTTGCCAAGTTTATTTAGAAATCCGTAGATTTTGTTCAAGAACCTTATGTATGTATTAGGACAATTTTATGGAGTTGAGACACAATTATAACACTCGAAGAAAAAATATAGCAGGGTACCTCAAATGCAAATGACAATAATACAAATTATCTAAGTACTTTCAGACTTTTTTGGAAGTAAATTTCTACAATACCATTCATTTTAGCTCCATAAAATGTCATAGCTTTTTGAACAAATATTTATTCCAGTGATGGAGCAATTCACAATGATTTCTACAGTAGGTATTTACGCCTTTGCGCCATCTAGCGGTCGTCCTACGTTTCTTTAAATAATTTCCATGTGTTTCTTGTGACTACTTTAGTCATTGAAACTTTTTCCCAAAAGATGTACTAAAGAATTTTTACGGTTTGAAGGCAGTGACGTCGCATGATAAAAAACCTGCGGCGTTATCAGAAAGAATTTTTTTCCTTAACTTAAAGACAACATTGTGACAGTTATCTTTCTTTTTTCCTAGCTTAAATATAAGTGCATCTAATGTACTATCAACTTTAAAGTGCTATTAATTAAGTTATAAGTTGATTACAGATTGTAAAAAAGAACTGCTTTTCTATACCCAGACAGCACAAATAGGTTCATTGGACGTCCATTCGATATACAAATTTGGATGTCTGGACATCCAAAAATGTGTTTTTTCTGTACTTTCGACATCCAATGGACGTCCAGTGAAGTATACAAATGGCACACTTTTGACCATTTAGTGGACATCCAATTCTAGATTATATTTGGACGTTGAATACCAGACATTTAAAAAACGTCCATTCCTGAATTATTTCCATTGATAATTGAGACTACATCTCCATTTTTTTTACACAACCGCAACTCACCACACACTATTTTATGCTATTAATTATTTATTTTTTATTATTTTTGCAACCAGCTATACATTTCTTTTTTTTAATATTAAAAATTATTAACCTGAGCAGGAATCGAACTCACGACATGTCCATTATCATTCTACGCTTTCAACCACTAGACGATCTCCACCAAGGAGCTGCTTGAACACTTTTTACTAGATATGGTTATAATAGATTAGTATTTCAAACTTCCTCTGATAGAATGAAATGCAATAGATTAAATTTGTCAATTTAATGACCAATTAAATAATAAAAAAAAGAAAATGTATATAGATAGGTATTATCTGGTAGGTTAAATAAATAATGACCGAAGATGTACGCCCATTTCTCGTCAAAATACTACTCTTAAAATTAAGTCCAAAAACAGACGTCCTCTGGGTATCGACATGCAGCTGTCAAAGTAATGATTATAAACGGACGTATACTGGATGTCCAAATACGGATATAGACGTTCTTACCCTCAAATGGATCTAAAGTGAACGTCCATTGGTCTATATTTATATTTATGCCCTCTGGGTAGAACAATAAAATCTTATAGTAGTTATGAAAATGAAAATTACTGTTTCTTGTAAATTTTAAAGAAAACTGAATACACAACAAATTAAACTAAACGACCTAACCTGCAAACGAATGTTGATTGATGAATTACGAATTTTCGCTGTTATATCGGCAACCTCATCAAGTGTTTCCAATCTTTATAAAGTTAATTTCCCCTGCACGTTAACTTTAAATCGTATAATTGCTCTTAGTTTTTTCATGATATTCCGTTGACAATAGTTTATATCCTTCACCGGTTAATATTAAAAATTCACTAAATTTTTAAATTTATATTGATCCTTTTCATGACCTACCTGCCTTATTTTCACGTAAAACAATTTCTCTCTCTACAAATACATGGAAGATGTGGCAACACCGAACATTGATTTATTATTTCTCGTTATTTTGTTATCATTGTGGACAACTTTACGGCATATAGAAGACCTATTTCTTAATTTTCTTTTTATGGATTGTCGTAGACAATTACTTTTAGGAAAAACAAGTTTTTTTGTCAAAAGTTTTATTCTCTAGCGAGAAGTTTTATAGAAAAAGGTCGTCGACCCCTTTGAAGACAGCGGTTTAGGGAGTTTTAATGCTAAACTCATTGATCCGGAATTTATAATGTTGTTTGGGATCGTTATAATCTTTTCAAATGGAAAAAATTAAGTTTTTCTAAGTCTAGATTAAATTTTCCAATTCTATTTGTCTTGTGATAATAGATAGATAGGGCATATTGGATGAGAAAAACATTTTGTTGAAGTTGTAGATATTTTAAAAATATATCAGGGGGACAAGTATAATTCAGGAGACCCCCTTACGTTACGCCACTGATAAAAAAATTAAATATTTAAATTAAGAAGCTATTTTGCCTATATGTACTGAAAATTCTTGTAAAATAATCCTTGTTTAAAAAAATATCTATAATTATGATTTATTTTCAGCTTGGATATTGGGATGGTGGATGTGCAAGACTGTTCCATACATACAGGGTGTGTCAGTTGCTGCGTCAGTGTATAGTCTAGTAGCAGTATCTTTAGACAGGTAAGTAAAATCAACATCTTCATGTAGCTGATTCATATTTTTTAGTTGATAAATTTATATAGATAAATCATGATTTCCATAAAAAGTTGCAACCAATTATCACAATAAATATACAAAATTACTACTTTATTGTATAAGAGACACCATTTTGCTTGTGGCAAATTCCGGTACGGCTTTGCTCTTAGCAACATGACAGAGGTGTCTTTGTTATATTTTAAAATACTCCAAATATAAAGTAATTAAAAATCTAATATCTTTTAATATTAGCTATATAATTTTTGAAATCCTTTATCATTATTATTTAGTATTCAACTTCTATTTTTCTATTATGTCTACGTAATAGAATAGGGCATAACAGACAAATTCATCTAAGCATACTTAAACTTTAAATTTATATATTTTCAAATGCCCACACTAAAATCGAATAAGACTGCCTGATGTGAATCAACCACATGTTGTTGCGAATACCTGAAAGTTATTTTACTGTTATTCCGGAAGGAAATTAAATAAAAAGTTAAAAGTTCTACGAAGGAATAACTTTGCACAATATCCATCTAAAGACCCGTAGAAAATTTATGTTGATAGTTACAAAGGTACGTAAAAAAGTTCAGACGATTGGAATTGGAAATTATGTAGATATACAAGGTGAGGTATTTCACACATCAAAATATTTCCACAACAAATTATACAAAAAAATGTTTTAGACAAATGTTATTTGACACTGAAGAGACAACAGACCAGTCTTAGTGATGTTTGGTTGAGTTTTCATAAGGGATTTTCATCTTCAACTTTGTTTTTTCAAATAGAAACCTGTATTTATTATTTTAGTATGTTACTTCACGCAAAAATCAAGTAAAATTCATCTAAAACATTCTTCTTCGAAATTATGACGAGTCACGTCGACTAGCAATGACCATGGGCTTTAGGGGTTTCAGAGGTTAACCACTCCATCGAATATTCTTGATAACCAGTTAAATGGAGATCGTAAAAGGCCCAAATAAGGCGAAAAGGGACTTAAGGGATTGGATCAGGACCGGACTGGTCAAAAATTAATCACATGATAGTATCATCAAGAATCTGACCATCAAATTAAAAGTCAAATCTTATTGTACATCCCTATGAAATGCATTTTATTTCAATCTGTAACTATTATAGAAGGCCAAACTGCGTCACTGCCCTCTACAAGTGTAATAATAAATTCAGTTTACAATAAATTTAAAATAACACAGACTGACCTTGACTTTCAATTATATAAGAGTAATAGGAAAACTGTTTAAATACCAAAAAAATAATATTTTGAATTAAATTATGAAAGTTAGTAATCCCCTAAATGAAAATATAATTCGTGCATTTTAGGGCGATATTTTGTAATTTTGGCGTATATATTTTACTTATTTAAAAAAATAGTTAAAAGTAATACAATGAGCAACTGGAGTTAGTTGCTGTTGTAATGAACAAAAAATTCATTCCTATTTTTAATTAACTGGATCAACCCTTGTTCTTAAAGTTCCCCCATTTTAAATTATTATTTTTCGAAATTCCCGCGATTTGCAAATAATTATCGATTTTATGTTGAATCTCATGTTGCTGTAAACCTATCGCGTCCCCAATACCGTCCTCGAGCATTTGAAATCAACGCGAAAGTACTCGCGTATCGGGGACAACACTAATCATTTGTAGTGCGTATGTCGTAAACGTTTTAATTGTACATCCGTCTCCTTTTGACAGAGTAGGTGAGCTGTGTTCAGGCCGTTGGTGTTTATGCCGGTCGGCGTAGGCAGGTATGGATTGAAATCTTTTAGTGGCGACGAAGCCGCCACCCTACGAGAAGTCGTTGCTTCGTCTTCTTGTTGTCCCGGCATTATTATTATTTGTTCATGTATGTGAAATTTGCTTTTAAGGTTTATAAAATACTACTGCTAGTCACGGCGTAAATGAAAACAAACAAGACGCATTCACACAAACACATCCCACCCCAGCAATTACAAATGATTAGTGTTGTCCCCGATACGCGAGTCGTGAAAGCCGGCATAAGATGGGCCAGTCGAAAATCGTGGAGATTGATTCAATTTTAGCTGTTGGCCGCGAATAGTTGGTTTCAGAGGTAGATAGTCCGAGCTCCGATCACGTTTTAATTCCGATTAATTTCAAAATCACTTGCTTTCCGTTGTATACTTTTCCGATAGGTAATTAGATTATTCCTGTAGTTTTCATTCAGCCGTGTGTTCCGAAAACGGTGTGAAACAAACAGGAATCTGTTAAATTCCCGAGTTGTTCATATTGTTATGTGAGCCATTTCATTATTCAGTTATGCTCTAACCCTACAAGTCCCTCTCTGTCTTATTTGGCCTTTAAGGCTCAACTTGTCCGATTATTATACATAATTAAACCCCTTAAGACCAAACCTATGGAACGACTATGGCGGAGGTGATTTCGATGATGTTCGAGAAAGGACGAGATAATATTTCTGGACTGTTCGAAATATTTCTAGTTTGGTGGAGAAGCTTCTCGACTCCACCAAATTTTAAAAATTTGTATATAAATATTGGTGGATGAGCCATCAGGGGGAGTATTATATGAACAGTGAAGATAAATAGTAATTAGTAGATAGACAGTGGTGAATATAAATAGTGATCAGTTTAAAGACATTCGAAGTATATATAAATTAGAATAATTGTGTTATAAAATAAATAAGTGTTTAAATAAATTATTAATAAATAAACTTGTTTGAAAATAAACAAACATCACAATATTTTCTTTTTTATTCAATTTTTTTTTATTTGCAACCTTATTAGTATTTTGGAAGCAAATCCGGATTGTGTTTGTTAATTTTACATTAATGTTGAAATCCGTATAAAATTAATTTAGTTCATTTCAATAAAATACTAGCTCGGTCTATTTTTATTTAACAAATAGAATTTGATTTATTTTAAGAAATAGTAATACTGAGTAAACCGATAAATTAAAACTTGTAAATATTGTAAATATTGGTTTCGAAAATAGTTATACCGGGGTTGGACAATAATTTAGTTTCCGAAAATTTTGTAGATATTAGTTTGAAAATATTTACACCGGGTGGCTGATTAACTTAGAAGTGGTTTGAACTTCTCCGAATATTTTATTTAAAATTAATTAGACCGGGTTGCCAAGAAATTAATCATTCGTAATTTCAAAGATAATTTTTGAATTCTTTCGAATAGAATAACATGAATTTCTCACACATTCATTAGTTGACTAATTGAGTTGATTCTCGTCCCTTCCTTTTCCTGTTAGGCCGTGTTAAGGTTCCTAAGTATTTTTTTGTACATTCTGTTATAAAATTCCGTTAACTAGAGTATCGTCTGAGTTGCTATTAAAGACAGTGACTACTCCCGCAGTAGAATGGGCTAATTTGGTAGCCAACTAAGATGATATGTTCCGGATTTGCTATTGAACAAAAGTGAAGCTTAGCTACCTTCGCTGCCATTTAGTATAAGTCTGCATTTCTCTCGTAAATTTCTTTAGCTCCGCGATCAACGTTCTTTTGTTTATTGATTCTGATCCCTGTCCCCACCGTTAGTTAGACTCTTAGTGAATTCCCGACCAGTTGACTGGACTCTGAATTGTAAGTCGATGCATAGTGACTATCCCGCGTGGTAGAAAAGACTGATTCGGCTTTGCTCCCAGAGTCTGGTTTATACGAGGTAACATAGCCTGGAGCGTCATCCTCGGGGATTGCGTCGCCGGGATATTAATCTTGTGGTCCGTTAGGCCATAGCTAGATTTGCAATTTCTTTGTTGCACATTACTTCCGCTCCTGTCCACTCCCCGCCGTGTCTCTATATTTCCCGCTTTAGGGAAAACCGAATAGTTAAAAGCTCTAAGACGCTTAGAGGAAAATTCATGAGATTCCGAAAGTTCGCCCTGACGAAGACCATAGACTTGCTACAACGCCGCGTAGTACTGCTAGTTTGACCGCCGCTTTCCCGACACCGTTTTATTCATAAACCCTTCATTTGTCCCATTGAGTTTTTATTTTATTTGCATATTAACTTCCGTTACGTTTTTCTTATTTTGTTCAGGGTTAGATCCAATAACTTGGGGAGGGCTTGTAAATACAATTATTTAGCTTCAATGTATATTAACCGAAACGAATTATAAATACCGAACAATATATGTGTCAAATTGAAATCTGGCATTTCATTCCCTTGTCGTAAGTCTCGTTCAGGTACTACGTAACTACTGAAATATCGTTGACCCTCTGGAATTTTCTTTCTTTAGTGCTGCTACCTGCAACCCTTCTTGGAACTAGTTCCATTAGGTAAAGTGGAGCAAAACACCCTAAAACAAACTGGCGCCCGAGCATACCCAGTTTAAACGTCACAAGTGAGAGTATTTCTAACCAGTTAAGAAAACCTCTCACACTATGCTGTAAATTGTAAAAATACTAGCAAAACAAAACAGTGTATATTTTATAAATTTTCAGTAGCAAAATAGAAATTAAATCAAAGAAATAAATGTACATTGCTGTAAAAAATAAAAAGTAATTAAAAACCTTTATTTCTGTAACAGAGAGTATCTAATACCTATTCAAAACTGAAAGGTTTTTTATATACTCAAATTATTATTATTATTATTATTATTTTACGATGTTCTTCAGAATTCCTGAAGTAGGTACATGTTCAAAAAGGATATACTTCTGCCTTTAATTATTGTCTGTATCTGGAATGCAATTTTGTAACTGACTGATCGGAAATTAAATTAATTCTATGTTTTCTTGCAAACTAAACCATTCGAAAATATTACTTTTTTTTTTTAATAATTTTTGAGTACCTTCCCGCTTGACATTAACCTTAACCTTAACTTTTTTGTAAATACCTAATTATCTATTGTTTTTTTATAAATTTTACTTACTTTTCTTTAGATGAAGTAATAAAAATATATAATATTATTAAATTACTTTTTCGCTTGTTTTATAAATCAATATACTTTTATTAAAACCGAAAAATAAATTTTTTATTTACGAATTCTATTAAAAATGATACTGTCAATACAGCAAACTTGCCCTTTAGTACATATTTTATTTGGCGCAGCCGTCACGCACGGGGCGAATATAGTCAATATGTAACTGAAGATTTGCCGAATATATTTAATATTTATTTTATAAGCAAAGACCATATTTATTATCCAATTTTAATAAAGATAACGATTTTTTTAATAACATTAAGAACCCTAAACTTGAACCGTTCCGTTTTCGTTGGCCCACCATGTATATTAAATTGCTAACTGTAAGCGTCTAAATAACTTATTAACAAGCTACTTAAATAAAAATATTAGATCTAGAAGAGAAATACCTGATTACAACACCAGAAATAAAAGTAATGTACAGATTTATCCGTTAATAAAAACTAAAAAGAACATATTCGCTCCGTGCGTGACAGCAGCGTCAATTCATTTATGTACTAATTGACTATTTTGGCCTTTACTGACAATACAATTTTTAATAGAATTCGTAATTAAAAAGTATATATGTTAGTTTTAATAAAAGTATGTAGATTTGTAAAACGAGTAAAACATTAATTTTTTATTATTATTATATATTTTTATAGTATAATAAGTATAATCAATAAAAGTTAATAATAAAATATAGGCAGGCAACAGTATTTACGGAAAAATGTATGAGAAGTTGCCTAGGTCTAATAAGTTGTCTTTAAAGATTTAACCTATTCTATCAAAGTAAAAAATAACATTAAATAATAGCGTGAAGTTAAAATGTATAAACAGGATTGTTATTTATATTTTCATTTTTGTTCGAAAGAAAACAGAATGAATGATTAAAACTGGTTTCTTATCAATAAGTCACAAAATTGCATTCTAGCCACATACAATAATCAAAGGCAGAAATCTAGTTCTTGTTGAACATTTAAGATTAAAGGGATGTTGAAGAACATCGTAAAATGATAATTTATTATTTATTTAAAACCTTTCAAGTTTCTGATGTCCACTATTACTGTTATTATTACACAAAAAAAGGTAATTTGTCTTCTTATTGTACACCTATTCATTTATTTTTTTGATTTAATTTCCACTTTGCTACTGAACATTTTTATAATTTACACTGTTTTGCTAGTATTTTTTACAATTTTCAACACAGCAACTCCGATTGCCTATTGTTTCTACCTAATTTAAAAAAAAGAAATAAAATGTATACGTGTATTTGATATGCCAAAATTACAAAATATCGGGCTAAAATCCACGAATTATTCGCAGCTAGCGCTAGTATCGCTTTTGCTTCCCCTACCATGACTTCGCACTGAGCGAATATGATAAATACATGACAGAATTTGTTAGTACAACTTAAAATTTGAAAATATTCATCAAGAGACTTATAAAACTATGGTTTTGTAATTAATCGATTACTACTACTAATAATGTTTCTTTGGTTATATTTATGTAACTTTTTATTTGACCTCTATGAATAATTATAAACAGTTCTATTTTCATTGTTTTGTATTTATTTATTTTTTTCTAAAATAAATTACCTTCTTTCTTCTCTTTCTCTCTCACTCTTTCATCACCTTATATATTTCGAAAATAATTTTGATACACTTCTCTTGTTTCAGATTTCTCGCAATATGGTGGCCCCTGAAGTGCCAAATCACCAAACATCGAGCCAGAATTATCATAATCCTCATCTGGTTCGTAGCTTTGACCACGACAATGCCGTGGGCGATATTCTTCGACTTGGTGGTCATTTTTAGGGACGCACCGAACGTTCGACTGTGCATCGAGGTTTGGCCCGAAGAAATGAATGGATCATTGTACTTTTTAACAGCTAATTTACTATTTTTCTACATTTGTCCGATGATCCTTATCACTATGTGTTATGTACTAATTTATATCAAGGTAAACATATGGAGCAATCCACAAAAATGGTTTCCAAACTAGGTATTTACGCCATCTAGCGGTCGTCCTACGTTTCTCTAAATAATATTTGTGTTTCTTGTGACCACTTTAATAGTCACTGAATTTTTTTCCCAAAAGCTCTACTAAAGTATTTTTACGATAAGAAGACAGTGACGTCACACGATAAAAACCTGCGACGTTGTCAGGTAGATTTTTTTCCTTCACTTAAAGATATCATTGTGACAATAGTCTTTCTTTTTTCCTAGTTTGAATATAAGTGCATCTAATGTTCTATCAACTTCAAAGTGCTAATAATTAAGTTATAACTTGATTGAAGAGTGGAATTGATTGAATAGAACAATAAAAACTTGACTATAAAGCATTTTCAATAGTAAGAAAAGTTTTGTAGCATTCAAATAAAAATTAATAGCTATATAGTTTTTTTGTAATTTTTATTGTAATATACGAAATATTACTAATATACAAGATAAGTTTTTAATAATATATTTTTTTAATTATCTCTTTCTTCTCTGCTACTATCTTGGCTCAGATTCACTACGTACGAGATAAAATTTTCGTATTATTGACGTTTCCATTTTTTTACATACTGTAGAAACTGCCAGCATCTGTTATTGTTATATTTGGTTATTTCTAACTAGAGGTAGTAATGAACGGGATAGGTAGTTATGGACTGATCTTGTTCCTTCGAAGCTGATTTTTATAGAATGCTCGCTAATATTCTAGGAAATCCTCATTATCGTCATCGAAATAGGTTCATCGATGTATAGTCTATAGGAACAGCTAAATAAAAGACTCATGTACCAGGTCTGATAAATTTACTAGTTACAACTTCCCATATAAATCTGATTAGACCTCGTATGAATTTCTTATCTCTCACTCCTGTATTTAGGCAGTATCTAGTCGAACAAATAATATTGGATGGACACACAAGCAAAATATGAAGGTCAAACAATGCCGGGTCCACAGTAAACACCGTTGTTTGCATTTTCGGGTAAATTGTCAGTGCTGTAGCTTGATTTAGAATTTATAAAATTACTATATTCTGCGTTCTTGGGAATTTTAGTGAGTAGCTTGCATTTTTGTTTTCTTGTGGTTATTATTTAATCAAGATGGCGTTGTGGAGATCTTTTCTTGATGTTTCTGATATTGAATCGGACAATGTTAAAGGCTCGGTTGAAGATAAATCTATGGCGGAGACATCAGAATTTTTAAATAAAGACTTGCATCCTCAAACCCAAAGATTTATTTTAAATATTTACACTTGCTTGAAATTTTAAAAAGGATTTGTGAGCTGACTAAACTTCCTCGTACTACAATTTATACTGTTTTTAGAGCAGGAGATCTCATTGATCATTCCGTAAAACGAAAAAGAGATAATCAGAAGCTTAAGAAGGTTGATAATGCCGACAAATAAGTTAAACGCCGAGTTGTACACACATTTTACGAAGAAAACAAGGTTGTAACTTTAGAAATGGTTCGTAACAAGTTACGGGATTATCACGATTATGAATATAGATCTCTAGACACATTGCATAACATTTTGCTAGAATGTGACTTCAAGTACGAAAAAATTAATAAAGAAATGGTCGTAATAGAGTCATCTCGCATCGTAACATGGTGGCAGGAGTATTTACGAAAAGTTAAGCAATACCGCCAATCAAAAAGAGAGATAGTGTACCTTGATGAAACTTGGTTCAATACACATGATCTTGTTAAATATGGTTGGGTGGATGAAGGTAATAAGTGCTCTCTAAAGGGATCTTGTTCTCGCGGTAAACGAGTTATCATTCTACACGCAGGTAGTAATAAGGGTTTTGTTCCTAATGCTCTTCTATTGTCAGCTAAAAATATAAAATAGTCATCTGCTGACTACCATGAAGATATGACCGCCAGTCTCTTTGAAAAGTGGTTTAATAAACAACCTGAGAAAATATAATCAATCTCCAACTAACAGTGCTTTCGTACTAGGAAATATACGAACGGTTACTAATGAAGTAAACGACAGTGGTAAATGGATAATATGTGTCCAGCATGTCATAAAAAAGGAGAATGAATATTGTATTTTACCTTCCACTGACCCCCTTATTATAACCCTAAATTCAGATAATAACTTTGAACTTTTTATTAAATTCTCATGGCAGGACAAACTGGTGTCTTTTTTTGGCATTACTAATAAACAAAATCTGTGTAGGTATATAAAATTTTTTTTTTTACATTTTCTAGGACATTTTATTTTCCTAATTTCCTGCTATAGGAGTTCTCCTTCTTTTCAGGGTGGTCTGCGCTGATTACAAAAAGTAACTTAGCTAGCTATTTCCTAATGTGTCACGTGCGCGTGTGGGACCTGTGTTGCAGGTTGTGTGCCCCAAAATATCGCCAATTTTGCTATTTCCAACCTTATAAATGGACAAGTCCAAGTATAAAATGGGGAATATGATTTAGGAAAACCACAAAAACGTAAATCACGATATTGTACAAATAGTATGAATTTGTAATTATATGATTGGGAAGGGTCTATCTAATGTTTAAGAGGGCTGATTCCAGCAGATCCTGGAGTTCAGCGGTGAGGGGGAGGTCTTGAGAGTCTGAGAGAAGTCTCAGATTTGGTTGTGGCATTTTTCTTTTCGGTTTTCGAAAAAGTGGGAGTTGGTTTGGGCGCCATGGGGTTCGTAGTGTGTCTTGTGAGTGTGTGTTGGTGCCTTTCAGCGTGCGAGAGACGTATTGTTTCCTGAGGGTTTGGGAACGTGTGAGGATGGGGATGTTGGAGATGTTTTCGAAAACTTCTCCGTTGGGGGAGCGAGAGGGGAGATATTGGCAACGTCTGAGTATACGTCTCTCGAGTGTGGTGAATTTGTGGGAGAAGTGTGTGGGAAGTACGCCGTAGGGTACAGCTCTGTATTCGGCAACGGGGCGGATAAAGGAATTGTAAATGTGGATAAGGGTGTTTGTGTTGCAACGCCCCATTCGTCTGCACAAAGCCCCAAGGAGACGGGCTCGTTTTCGCATCTTATCAAGAGAGCGTTGGACATCAGAGGACCAATTAAGTATACAAGAAAATCGTACCCCCAAATAGTCAACTTCAGTCTGTTGAGCGAGCCTGACTCAAAGGAGATTTACATTTACGAGTTGGGGGTTCTGGAAGATTCTTTGAGAATTTGGGTGCTTAAAGACGATGGATTGGTTTTCTGCGGATTTAATGTGACCCTCCATTTGCTACACCAGTGAAAGTACTGGTTTAACAGATTTTGGGTTCGAGATTTAGTTGGTTAGAATTTTTGGCTACCGAGATTAGAGCTGTATCGTCGGCGTATAGGAGGCATTTGGACGTAGGGTGGTTTGGGGGGAGTGTGTCATGAGTATATATGAGGTAGAGGAGAGGGGCCAGGACGGAGCCCTGTGGAATACCCGCGAGTGGGGTGAATGTGTCTGTGAGGTAGGAGTGTATAAGTTTGGAGATTTGGGGCGGCAGACCTATGTTCATAAGCTTTTTGACTAGTCCGGCATGCCATACTTGGTCGAAGGCTTTTTGAACATCTAAGAGAATGGCTGAACAGATTTGCTGAAAGTTTACTGCAGTGACTGCAGTAGTGTGAAGGGAGGAGATTGCGTCCTGCGTGGAGTGGTGAGGTCTGAAACCATGTTGAAATTGAGGGATGATGTTTCTTTCTTCACAAAATTCCCAGATTCTTTCCTTGAGCAGAAGCTCGAGGAGTTTTCCTAGGACTGATATGAGAGAGATGGGTCTGTACGAATTTATGAAATTGGGGGCTTTGCTTGGTTTGGGGATTAAAATGGTGTTGGCCGATTTCCAGGCAAGTGGAAAATAGGAAAAGGAGAGACATGAGTTTAGGAGAAGGGCGAGGATGGAAAATATGGTTTCAGGAAGATGCTTCAGCGTTCTTCTGTGAATGGAATCAGGCCCGGAGGCCGTGTTTTTGCCTGCCTGGCAAGCATATTGGATGTCTTGAAAAGTGAATGGGGAGGTGAGGGTGTTTTTGACATCCACAGGTGGGACTGGAGCGGCGAGTGTCTGAAGGACGTATTGTGCGGTCTCGTGTTTGAATTGCTCGTCAAAGTAGGGGTTGTCGGAGGTTCTGAAGGTGGTTTCAAGGTGGGTTTTGTGAGCTAAGGCTTTTTCGTCGGGGGTTGAGTGAATTTGTTCGTCGATTTGGAGGTGGGAGTGTGATTTGGTTTTTTGACCCGTGATGATTCAGAATTTGTCCCAAAACTTGGAACCGTCTCTATGATCCAAATTAGAAGTGGTATTGATCCATAGTTGCTGTTTGTGTAAGTTAGTTTGGAGCCTGATCAGGGCGTCAAGGCGGTTCCATTCAGTTTTGATGACTGGATCGTGGGTACGGACATATTGTCTATACAATCGTCGTTTTGGGGAGATGAGAGTTATGATGAATTGGGGAGGTCTTTTTGTAGAGTGTTTATGGAGGTGATTGGAGCGGATGTTTCGACGGCGTGGATGATGGTGGTTTGGACTTCGTCAAACATTGTCTCGATGTCTTGCGGGGAATTGAGCGGGCGTTGCTCAGGAATGTTTGCAGAGATGGTTCTCTGAAATAGTGGCCAATCTGCTTTATTGAGATTTCGGAAGGTGTATATTATAGCTCTTGGTAGAATGGGTGCAAGGGGAGATGTATGTAACATAAAAGAAAGATGATCGGAGGTGATTGTCTCTCCAATGAAGCATCTATCAGCAACCAGTCCTGTACAAGAATTGCTAAGTTTTCATGACTAGTGATGGTGCATGAATGGCCGAACATGGCCGGGATTAGAGATCCCAATAGTTTGGTCAGAATTTCTCGACTATTAGGTAGGAAGTTCATCAGTAAAGTCGAGAAGATTTGGATGGATATTTTAAGCTCTGATATCAGATCAATGGGGGGAGGGGGGTGTGGATGTTGGTAGGGAGACAGGTGTTACCTGTTCGGGTTTTTGTGGGGGCTTTCGCCGTTCTGGACAGGTTA